TTTTTATCGTGATGCTACTGGGCTAATAATGTTTAGAAAAAGAGTTTGTGTTCCTCAAGTAGATGAAATAAAGAAGATGATTTTAGAAGAAGCACATCAGAGTAAATTAAGTTTTCATCCAGGTATTACTAAGATGTACCATGACTTAAAGGAAAATTTTTGGTGGCATGGCATGAAAAAGGGCGTTGCAAACTTTGTATCAAAATGTTTGATTTGTAGGAAGTCAAAGACAGAACACCAAAGATCTCCTGGAGAGCTGTAACCATTGGATATTCCTGAGTGGAAGTGGGATAGCATTTCCATGGACTTTGTGTCCGGATTGCCGAAGACCAAACATAATCATGATGCAGTATGGGTGATTGTAGATAGATTAACTAAAACTGCCCATTTCATTCCCATGAACATGAAGTATAAGCTAGAGAAGCTTGCAGAATTGTATGTTAAAGAAATTGTGAGATTACACGGAGTTCCTGCCAGTATTATATCTGATAGAGATCCACGATTTACTTCAAAATTCTGGGAGAGTCTACAAAGGGCATTAGGAACAAAATTGAAAATGAGTTCAGCTTATCATCCACGGACATGATGGACGTACGTAACGTACTATTCAAACTCTAGAAGACTTGTTACGAGCTTATGTGATGGAACAACATGGAGCATGGGATGAAAGCTTACCATTAGTAGAGTTTACTTACAATAATAGCTTTCACTCTAGTATTGGAATGGCACCATATGAAGCTTTGTATGGTAGAAAATGTAGGACACCGTCAGTGCCTGGTATGAGATGGGAGAAAGTTTGTTGTTGGCGCCCGATTTATTGCAAAAACAAATAGACCAAATTAAAATGATTAAGGAGAAGATTAAAGCTGCTCAAGATCGACAAAAAAAGTTACTATGATAAGAGAAGAAAACCTTTGGAATTCCAAGTGGGTGAACATGTGTTTTTAAAGGTTTCTCCTACTACTCGGAGTTGGTCGAGCCTTAAAGACTAGAAAACTATCCCCAAAATTCATTGGACCTTTTGAGATCTTGAAGAAGATTGGTTCAGTGGCTTATCAGCTTGGCCTTACCACCTAACCTCTCAAACCTACATTCAGTGTTTCATATATCTCAATTGCGTAAGTATATTGCTCGATCCTTCTCATGTGATTGAACTTGATCCTATCCAAGTTCGAGAGAACTTATCCTATGAGGTATCACCCATAAGAATTGTCGATCACCAATTTAAACAACTGCGAGGAAAGACTATTGCCTTGGTTAAAGTGATATGGGATCTAAATCATAAAGAGAATGCCACTTGGGAGCTTGAAGACAAGATGAAAGAGTCTTATCCTTATCTTTTTGATACTTAGTGAATTTCGGGGCTGAAATTCCTAAAAGGGTGGGTGAATTGTAACATCAAGTATTTCCCAAAAATATTTCATTAATATAATAAAATATTTTGTCATTAACTTTAATAAAATGGTATTATGAGTTATTTTAAGACTTGATAATTTTTAAAGATATTAATAAATAATATATATATATATATATATATTATGAAATTTTTAATAAAGTGAAATAGATAAATTTACAATTGAGTTTAAAATGAAGTAATAATAATAATAAAAGTAATATCATTAAGCAAAATTAGTAATATAATTTACCATTGATGAAAGGATTTAATTGGTAAGTGAAAAAGTAAGTGAGGGTAATTTTGGAAAGGAGGTTAAATTTAAAGAAGAGAAAGATCAATTTTCTTTCTCACTTACGGAAACCATTTTGGGAGCACGGGAGGAAGAAGAAAAGCTTGGTTTTGCTTGCCCACACCATCTTGGTTCATCCTTTTTGCAATTAAGAGTAAGATTCATGAAATTAAAGCATTGGATTTCAATATTATCTCCTAAAATCTTCTTAATCTCAAATATATAGTCATTTTGATGCTTATAGGAGACAAACTTTTCTTGAACTAAGGATCTCAATTTTCTTGTTTGAAAGCTTCATTTGAGGTAAGGAGAGTCTTCTTGTCATCAACCCTAGGCTAAATCATCATTTATCTCACTTCTACATTAATTGGATTTTTATAGAGGAAGATGATGAAATATGTGTTGAGAGATGTTATTGGACAAAAATCTGCATGTGAATACAATCTTTGGAAAATTATGTAAAAATATTTAATTGGTATTTAATTCTGAAATTTTGATTACATGTTCCTTTGTATGTCTAGTTTGTGTGTGATTTATTTCAAAATTTTCTGACCAGTTGGTTTTCGATGAAAAATCTTGGAAGTAAATATGTTTTGAGTTGGGTGAAACAGAATTGTTATGTTTGCGCAGCAACTTTGAAAAATCCTATAAAATCTAAATTTAAATTTTTTGAGATGAAATTTTTATCATAGTTGTGATTGTAGGAATATGTTAAGTTTATTTATTTTCATAATTTTATGACTATTATTTTATTTTATAAAAATATATCTTTGAGTAATGCCCTGATAGTGGAATCTTCAAAACGTATGAAAATGGAGGAAAGTTTTGAATGACTTAGAAATCTTTAAATTTTGAATTATAATTTTTATTATAATCCTAGAATATATGTATTTTGGACTGGAAAATTTCATAGAATTTGGAGTTAGTTTAGATGGCAAAGAATTTTTCCAAAGTTACACTTTTCTAATGCTTATGATAGATTTTTCTTCCTAGAGAAGTGTAAACAAAACTTTAGTTCTGGACCTATTATTTATTTTATGAGTATGTATGATGTGAGAATGATAGTGTGTAATGAGACATTTTGGGACACAAGATTAGAATAACAAGAGTTTAGAAAATTTGATGGATCGCAATGTGTGCTGAGTCCGAGAGTGTCCGACTCTCGGCAAATTTTTATTGTTCTTGTTTGATGCAGGAAAATGTGTTTATAAATTTGATTTGAATGTATTTGTAAATTGGGAAATGTCCAAATTACAAAGGAGATTCTGTCAAATTTTTGAAATTGATGAAAAATAAATAAAGCTTAATAAGAATGATATAAAGAAATGTTATGAATAGTTAATGCATTCATAATCATGGTAGTTAGTGGAAATCATGTTTATAAGTCGTTTGTACTATGTGCTCGAGTCTAAGTCAGAGATGTTGGTCATCTAAAAATAGGGTATTATGTCTATAGTGATATGGTCTGTATGATGTAGAGTTTGTTCCTACCAAATATATTGTTGTTAAAGAGTTGGTGGTGTCACTCAGTGACGAGATATGTGTGTGGATGGTACGGAGATACACCGGGGGCTTAGGAGATAAGAGAAGATCAGATTGATCTTGGGGAAATATAGAGTGCATTGTTTGGCCACGCTCTATACTCCCGACTTGACTCTTTGACTTTGCCTTTTTGCCAAGGGATCGTTTTGCGTAAGCATTGTATCTGTGATGCGCAGATCAACCGACAACTATCTATACTTCTGTGAGCCATTTATGCTCGTGTGTAATTTTGTTATGCTTGTGAGAGTTGTCTGTACTTATGTGTGATCCTTTCACGGATTGAAAGATGGGATTGATAGTGTATCCTAGGTGCATGAGCATTTCAAATGTAGTAAAAATGAACAAATGAAACACAAACATGTATTATGTGTTTTTAGTTTGAGTAATGTGAGTTGTGGAAATTGTTTGAAATTTCTGTGTGAGATACTTTATTATAAAAATGAAATGTTTGACTATAAATGTTACATATGGTTTTAGATTGTGGAAGTTGGAAAAATTTTCGGTTTAGTGTTCTGGAGTGATGAGAAAAGGAAACTCATCCTTACTGTTATATTTCAGGTAATGATGAAACAATTGTGGTGGAGGAACCACAATTTGATTGAGTATCATATACATATGCATGGAAGAATGCTGCCTTCTGAGACGGACATGATCTTGTATAATAAAGTTAGGAATTTTGGGTACCTGCTTCGATTAGGATTTGCTTTATTTTGAGATGTATAAATTTAAAAATTAAGTTCTAATCGTTTAAGGGTACAAACTTTATGTAATTATAGTATGATCCTTGTTGGATTAGTTATTTTGAAAAACAATGTATTATGATTATGAATGTTATGTATGAATGTTATGTATGAATATGTTCGACACCTTAATTATATATATTTATTCACGCATGATCATTTTTAAAGTTCATTGTCATAAAGACATAATATTAAAAAAAAATTATTTCCATTTTTGAGAAATTAAATAAAATAGAAAAAAAATGACGTTACAAAGAGCACTGTTATCTCTCTATAATTAACATTTTTAAAATTGGAATTATGTTTGATTCAACTTTTACAATAATTAAATGATAATCTAATTATTAAATTAAATAAACTAATTTAAAAATAATGTAATTTCACCGAATAATATATAACATAAAATATTATAATTAAGAATAAAATATATTATATGAGACTTTAATAATAATGAGTTTGATTTTAGTTGAAATTATCATGATAATAACCACCTCATCTTTCACCTTGTTATCTTTTTTAAACTTTGAACAATATTAATATTTTGATATTATAAAAGAACCCAAACATTAATTCAATAATTTACTTTTAGATTTTGACATTAAAAAAAATCATCTATTCAACAATATATTTTTAAATTTTTATTTTATTTTTTATCTATCTTATTTCATTCTCTTTTTATCAATTAATAAATAAATAATATTTGAAGGAAGTGTATCGTATCTGTAAAAATTGGTTGTAAAATAATCTTTTGTCATCTTTGAATGCTGCTTCCATGCCATTCTCTTTGTCAAATATATAACACAGAAGATGTAGTATAATTTAACCATGTATATACATTATATGCAACCTTTTTACAAGAACTCAAAGACAGACATAAACACCATTTGAAGAACCTATACAAGAACATGACAGCTATAAAAATGTCGTTGACATGGTGTAAGTAATACAAAGAAACCTGATAGAAGAAGAAAGTTGTAGTAACAGTTAAAAGTAGAATATGAAGAAGGAAGAAGAGAGAAAATGAGAAGGTTGATCAGTGAGTTTGAAGCCAGTCGTGGATTGCATGGCGAAGAGAGTGGTTGGGAATAAGGTTGTGATGTGGAAGCTTAGAGTTTGTTCTTGGTGAATTTTCACGACCATTTTTCAGCCATTCTCTTATTGCTCCACCTTCGTAAGTAAAACCATCTCCAGCCACTTGTGGATCTTCCATCACTTTCTGCAAAATAGTCACAAATTTCGATAACCTTTTAAGTAAAAACATCAAAATATATTATAAATTAACATACAATATTGTGATATATATATATATATATATATATATATATATATATATATATATATATATATTAATTATGTTAATATTTCCGTACACACCAATCCTTCATTTCATAGTAAAATTTAATTATTCTATTAAAAATATTAAACTATTTAAAAATTATATTTTTAAAATTAAAAATTATATAAAAAAATTGAAAACCTATAACCTAATTTATCTAACTCAATATAATCAATTAAGGACAAATTGGGTCGGAGAAACTCTATTAAAACGAAATGCATATATTTGACCTAGATGAACTAAAAAAGATTTAGTTGAGTTATGGTGATTGAACTGAAACTAAAAATGAAGGTAGTAAGAATAAGTTATCATGTATTTATATTTTGATTGAGCTGAAACTAAACATAAAGATAGTAAGAGTGAGTTACCAGAGAGATTGGACAAATGAAATATGGAGGAGGTTGGCATTGTCCTTTAGAACCCAGTTGAAAGGTGTTGGTGGCACCACAAGAAGCCCTCATTGGTTCCAGTATTCTCCAAACATCTGGATGAAGGTTAGGTCTGCTCTTTCTATTCATCTCACAACACCTCAAAGCCAACCGGACCAACTCTTCAGCAACCATAATTGGCCAGTCTCCAGCCGAAGGATCCAAGATGGATTTCAACTTTCCACCATTTAATGCCTTTTGCACTTCCTTTGTTATTTTAAGAGCAGGTTTCCCAGTGATCAATCTCAATAGAATGATTCCAAATGAATAAACATCTGACTTTGGTGTGATTTCACCACAAACAATGAATTCGGGATCCACATACACAAAAGTTCCCTTTGGAACAGTTCTCCAAAACTGTGTAGTGCTGTTACTTGAACCCTCTTGACAAGATAATATACGGCAGATTCCAAAGTCACTCAGCTTGCATACAAGGTTTGCATCAAGGAGAATGTTGCCAGGTTTTAAGTCACCATGTGCTATGCTGTGAGGTTTACTTGAGTGAAGAAAAATTAGAGCAGAGCAGAGTTCTGCAGCAATGCGAATTCGAGTTTGCCATGATAATGGAGGTGTGTTATCCTTGCAGTTCAGACGATCTTCAAGGCTTCCATTGGGTAAATACTCGTAGACAAGAGACCAGTATTCTGGGCAGGACCCTATAAGTGTCACAAGATTGGGGTGCCTTAACTTGCTCAATATATCAACCTGATACCAAACCACATTGGAGACATGTTATATGTACAACAATTTATATAACTGAGAAAGAAAACAGAAAGAAAGATATGTAATAAATGGTTTGATAGATAAATAGATAGATAAAATAAAGTATTGTTGTACATCTTGTTCCATGAATAACACCCAAGCACAACTCCAACCAAAATGCGGTCAAAATATATGTTTGTTTCACTATAAAACTGGACTAGATAAGATCATCAAATTCATTTTCTAGCTTCACATATATAACCAGTTAAGAACTTGCACGTTAACCAACTTGAACATATTTTGTATTACAAAATCGACCAGACAAAAATATTATTGCTGACCAAAATAAGATGATGTACGAATATCAAGCAAAACTGAAACCATCCTACCTCCTGTTGAAACTCCTCTGGGCCTTGGGTGCTGTCAGGACTCAATATTTTTATAGCCACCTCAGTGTGACGTAAGATACCTTTAAATATACTTCCATACCCACCCTGTCCAATCTTCAGGGATGCATTGAAGTTACTTGTTGCTTCTTTAATCTCTGAAAAGGAGAATTCTGAGAAGCGTTGGAGCTCCTGCATTCTTGATGCTTCCCCTTGTTTTTTCTTCAACTCCTCAGCCTCAACCAATGCGTTACCAAGCTGCATTTGCAAATCATCTAGTTCATGCTTGTAGTTTTGTGACAGGTCATCAGCAGATATAATCTTCTGCTTCAACTCCTTTATAATGAGTTCAGTTGATGCAATTTGATTCTCTAGACATAATTTCTGATTTAAGGCAAGTCGAAGTTCTTCATTAACTTTGTTTATTTGGCTCTTCATATTATCAAGTTCTTGATTTGCATTCTGCACTGCTTCCTCTTGTTCTTTTCTTAGTTTTAGCTCTTCTTGATACAAGTTTTCAGTAGCTTTAGCCTGTCAATTGGGAGGTTCAAAAATATTCTAGTGAGAATTTATATGAACTTGCAAATTAAGCACATGATAAGACAACCTGAAATGGTGTTTATCCATTCAAATTATATCAGAATCAGTTAAGGTTTGTTTACGGTTAGCTAATACAATCTTATTCTTTACCACTTTAGAATAATTTGAAAACCATGAAACTGGATACAGAACAAATTAACTTTTTGTAAGATAATCTATAAACATGATCATCTTACACATTGAAAAATAATAAGAACTCAACATAAGAAAATTACTTTGCGTATAGCATCAATGGCTTCTCTTTCTGCTTTCACACGCCTAAGAGTTGCTTGGTATGCATCATGCCTAGCATCCGCAGTCTCAGCCATTGCCTGTTCAAGTTGATCATAGAGAGCATCATCCCTTCCTCCATCCTGCTTGTGTTCAATTACAATTTTGAAATATTATCTTAAATCTCAGCTCAACAATATGACTATCTATCAATCAACGCAAATTTAGGAAGCAAGAATGGCTCTTCATCCATCAGAAAAAGTCAAAAAGAAACATAACAAGCCCCTGAGCAGACATAAGACATTCTGAAAGAGGAAAAAGTATGCATACCACTACACTTGAAGATGGTGAATGATGAACATCCTTGTTATTCAGAGAAAATTCATTCAACGTCAAGTCTAATACATTCCCACTGCCATCATTCATCAAATTAGGGATCAATTCTGCATCAACTGAACAACTGTTAAAGCACATTGAGAAAACTGAAGAACTCCTTCGAGACTGCCCATCTAACTCCTCACAACTTAATTCTTTCCCGAACTTCCTCTGAGGAGTTAAGTACCCTTCTGAAGAAGAAACAGATCCAATGCGACTCATTTGTCCATCACTGATAGTCCTCACTCTACGAAAAAACTCTTGCTCTGAATTAGGTAGTTTTGTCCAATAATTTTTCCCTTGCCCTACAGATGAGGATATCATGTTAGGTGAATGCCCAACTTCAGAGTTTGCTATTTGCTGCACGGAAGGAGATATGACCTCAACATTTCCTCTATCCAAATTGCTATCCCTGATTGATATAGCACTTGTATCAGTACCAAATATAATATGATAAAATACTATTGGGATATACAGCAAATCAAAGTTCAAGACACAAGCTTTCTAAATTATTAAATTCCTATGAAGCTACAAAGCTTACTCCAAAATTACACTTCTCTCTTACTTCAGAACTCCGCACTATTCAAGTATTCATAACACAATATACCTTGTGTGTATGAGGTACCCGTTGCAGATAAACTTTATATGACAAGAAGGCAGAGCTTGTTCACATACATATATAGCTTTCTTAGATCTGAGGGATACCATTCTCCTGCAACATCATGCGAATGGAAGCTCGTTAAAACCAATATGATGACTTTACACAACAGATATAGAGATAACAAAAGTATTCAAGCAACAAATAGTTAATCCTCAGAATTTATAGAATGAAGCATAGTTCAGCAAAGTTGCAAATGAATACAACTTTCAAAATCGCTACAAATTTTTCTATGAAGCTAGCCTTCAAGATGGGAATTAAATCAAAGAGGCAGAGGTAAAGGCTAAGCTCTATAGCTAAGAATTTGAGAAATAGTAATTCAAAAGTGTGAAAGTTTAACATGATTAACAAAAAGCTCCAAATTTCTAAGAGATATATGGCTACAATAACGTGTCTTAGCTTCGTGAGGGATTTTAGCTAGCTACTCACTTAGAATGGTACTTATCACATGCTGCTCCCATTACAAGCGTCTTTATGCCATACTGGGAGATGAGTTGTACAATCCCTTTTTCTACACAATCCATTTCAATGTGTAGTTTCCCTGCCCGCACCTATATCATAAAATTATTAGTAAAAAGTAAACCAAGTTTTGAAAATAAGGTTTACTAGAAAATTACCCCCATTCTTTGACAGATAAGTAGATAGGCTTCCAAAGTCTTGTGCATTTTTTGCCTTTCTCTTTCATGGTAATCATGAACTTCCTCCTCTCTCAGTGCATTTGCACGAAATTTAGCACCCACTATATAAATAACCAAGTAAACCAAGTTAAATCCAGTCCTTGAAACCATATATCAAATGTTGGATTTGACCAAAGCAGGTCCAAGAAAACATCATAAGTCATAGCGTGGTTACTTAAAATATTTTTTATACACTAGAATTTAAACAAAAACTAGTGAGTATAATTAGAACTTTTAAAGAAGGTCTCGTTATCTTCTGGGCTATTTTGAGTTTTAGTTGCAAACTTACTCAAAGGGATCATGGGTGCTGGCACGTGAACATGAAGGATGCAAATTCTCTTTCCTCCAGAATTTTGTATTGCCCATATGAGATTTAATTTGCCATCTTTCACATCTTTTGGCACAGCAACATAGATTGTATCATTAACCATACTTGGACTAGGCTCACTTACAATTTCTCTCCTACTAGTCATGATTCCAGGAACCCCAATATCACGAAGCGTGTTCATAGGATTGACCTGTGGTGGAGTTGCAGGCATAGAACTCACGACAGCCATGCTTATAGATGAAGGATGGTTGAACAGTTAAAAGACTCTTTCTTCCACTTCTGAAGAGAATCAGGTTAAACTGAAACTCAGAAGTGCAAATTCGACTATCTAGCCAAAGGAATATATGTAAAAGAAATCAACTACTGGGAATTTTCATCTCAATCCACACAGAAACATTATATCATGAAAACTTGATAAACCCAATTACCCGAAACCATAAAAAGAATAAATCAATAAATAAAATCTCTCAAACTAAAACCAAAAACTCTCTCTAGAACTAAAAAAACCACTTATTTATTTTCTGCAAAGCTCCCCTAGCTGAAATGGAATTCCAAATCAACAAAAGTATTAACCAAGAATAAACAAAATATTCAGCTTTCTCCACCTAGCAGAGACCCAATCTAGGATACTTAAATTTGCAAAGACATGCAACATGCCCATTTTCTTTCACCACAAAAGCAAAGTTCATAGGATAATGGAAAGCCATGATGATAGAAAGTGATGAAATGAAAAGGAAATGCTCTTTTTTTTATGTCTATCTATGTTGTCTCAGGAATGGAAAAGTGTACGGTTGTCTCAAGCTTATAACATGGTAGTTTACAAACAGAAGAGACAGAAATATTGATAAATAGTAACACAGTGGACACTTAGGAAATTACAAGAACAACCCTATGTCCGTCCCTACCACTTTTGGCTCATGGCGTTGCTCCTTATTTTTCTTTCTTCTTCTCCCTCCATGTTCCCTATGCCTGCTTCACATGAAGTTTCGAAGAAACAGTTTAGCCCCACTACTTGCACCTTCATTTTCCAATCTTCTGGAGTGATGGACGTAATCTATTATAGTAAACGGAAATCTGTCAAACATCGGGACAGGTGTAACTTGTATTCATATATAATCATGAAAGTGATGCACACTTGTTTTTGTTCGACACAAGAAGATGGAATGAAAAAAGGAAAATGAAAATAAATGGTGATCATATATGTATCTATATCACATGTCACTATTCATGCAATAAATACGACCATTTCACATATTAAATAAATTAAAAATAAATACAGTGAGCATCATATATCTTGTAAAGTAAGTATCTTATAAAGATACCATGACAGAAAATATAATGAATAAAACTCATATTAGTTTAGGGTTTTTATACACTTATTAAAAAATAATAAATTATCAGGACAAAAAATATAATGAATAAATCAATATATATATATATATATATATATAAATTTATTATATAAATACTAATGAGGATAAAGTAGAAAATAAAATATTATTTACCTCATTAATTATTTAGAATAACTGTTATTTAAAAAAAACTACAGTTATTTTTAAAAAATACTATAAATTAAATGAAGTAAAATATGAAACAGATTCGTAATAAAATGAACACTGAAATCAATACGATATTTGAGAATGAACACCTTCTAACAGGAAGGAAAAATTATCCAAAAATAACTACTGCGTGTAACAATAAAGCAAAAATAACTTCTGCAAATTTTTTCTTCTCTTCACATAAAAGTATAATAGTGAGACATACTCTTGTTATCAAATATTTAATCTTAAAGTTAAAAAAATAAAATAAAATCTTACAACAATACGAAATATCATAAAAATGATATTCACTAGCTATAAAAATTTACTCAACATTTTATTTTGGTTCTCACTATTTTCTCACATCAATCTAGTGGTTCAAAATTTGCTCGTGTATCTTTCATTTGTCAAGACTTTTTTGTAGAAGGTAAAAAGAGGAGGACTTTGAAATTAGTGTAAATATGATTAACTTTTTCTTACAATTATTAGTTAATAACATTATAAACTTGGTAAAATGTTGATTAACTATTAATCTTATTTCGCAAATAGTTAGTATTAATCATGTGTCGATAATTATATATAACTGTATTTATTTAAGGCGTTTCAACTTTAGCAGACAAAAGTAATTATATTTGTAAATTTTAGCCCATTTTGGGATGGAGGTTGAGTGGACTATAGCTTTGACCAAAAGATTATTTATTAACACGTTATGTTTCCACAAAAACCCACACCTCAAACAATACATCTAAACAGGCTACGCTTGTGTGGGAGTGGGACATTTGATGCAACGTAGAGTTGGCTCCCCCACTCATATTATCTTCACACTCTTTTCTTTCAAAAAATATCTATTAGAGAGAACTAAAAAATTAGTCTTAAAATAACTAATATTTTTTAAATAAAATATTACAAGGGTGATTATTATGAAATATAATGGTCCATGAAATTTGAGCATACTGATAAAAAAAATTAAGAAAATTAAATGTTATTGTTTTATATGGCGTGAAAACTAAATGATACAGATTCAAGAATAAATTTTTCTGACGGTATTATTAACTGTTCAAAATCAAAATATTTTAATTAATATTTAAATCTATTATTTTTTATCTAATTTTATCCAACACATAGAAATAGGTTAAGATCATATATATATATATATATATATATATATATATATATATATATATATATATTATATGGTCACCAATTAAATTTATTTTTTAAAATTTATGTAAATATGTTGTAACTTTTTTATGGATACTTGTTTGACTTATTAAAGCATTACACGTGGACAATAAATGCTTTAAATAAATTATACAGTGATTTAAAATAATATTGGACCGTTTCTTTATATTGTCTTTGGTAATTTTAATTTATGTGAATTGTGATGGAAAGAGTCTTATAATAGCGACCAATAAGATCAAATTTATTATACTTGGAATCGGTCTAAAACTTTTGTTATCCAGGTTTTTAGGTTGTCATATAGCATATAACCAATATTAAAATAAAAAGTAAGTTCTTACCATAAATACAACTGAAATCATATCCATAATTTTTTAAAAAGAAACTAGAGTTTGATACATACAACATTAGTCGACGATTCCAAATCATAGTTAAATACTCTAATTTTTAATGACGAATTTATAATAATGATTTAAATACTTTTTTAACCATTATCACAGATTTTTTTATTATGTAATAATAACATCAACCCATGATAAATGTTAACCTTAAAAGAAATTGATAAAAGTGTGGTTAATATAAATTCTTCAGAAAATATAAAAGTTAAAAAGAATCAAATTTTCTTATTTATTTAAAAATTTGTAAGTATTCATGAACGGCATTAAATGCTGGGCATGATGCTTCCGCTAAAAGGAATCGTTTACACGGTTTCTGCAATCTCTTGTCGCTCCGAAGACTTTGATTTACAAAGGTTGGTTTTTCTAATAACGTGTAAATTCTGAACTGGTTACTCTCTCTCTCTCTCTCTCTCTCTCTCTCTCTCTCTCTCTCTCTCTCTCTCTCTCTCTCTCTCTCTCTCTCTCTCTCTCTCTGCATTGGCCAAATGGTTCCCTCTCACTTTCTCTTTCGGACGTTGCTCTCAAAACTACAACGTAGGAAGACACATCTTTGCATGTCACAGTTCTTGCGTACAGAATTAAATAATGACAAAAAATAAATACGCAAACTTTGTCTTGTTTATTTCTTAATTCACAAATTATAACTAATTTTATTGAAATCTAAAACATAAAAATTAGGATTTATATTCAACTTTGTAAAATTTATTTATATTTTGTAATTTCATTTCATTAAAATCCTGTCAAGACATAACTTTTTATTTTTATAAATGAAATCATTGTATTATAAAACCTTTTAATCATATGAATCTTACTTTTTATTATATAAAATCTTAAAATTATATAATATATCAATACAGGATAATCGTGGGTTAAGATTAAAATAATTTATATTTTTTTCTTAATTCGTTACGATCTTTTTTTAATCCATTATGAACATCTTTAATAAAAATGATTTAAAAGTAAAAATAAATATTTTATTATGTATTCTATTTTTTATTGTTTAAAATTAAAAAAAATTAGTTAAAATAAGAAGAAAATTACTTATATAAATAATTGTAATTAAGTTTTAAATAATTTAGTTGTGTAACCTATAATAAAATATTTATGTTTATTTTTAAGTAATTCTTGTTATAATTTTTTTTAAGATGCTTAAGAGATTTTTTTAAAAACAAAAACAAACTAAAATTTAAAAATCTACCCTACCTTATATAAACATTATTCTTAATAGTATATGAAGTTAAACTTAATCATCACATTTTTAGATGAAATAAGTTATATTATAAAAGAAAAAATATTTTAATAATTAAAAATTAATTTTATTAATTATCTTAAAGAAAACATTAAAATAATTGAATTGAAAATTACTTAAAATTAGACCATAAACATCCTTATTTAAGGAATTTTAATATTTATTTATTTGAATTTGATATTCTTCGTTGATTTTGCTTAGAATTTTTTTATATTTGTATTTCTTGTCATCTTCCTTTTTATACGTGATCACATTCTCATTCAACTTTACTTTCTTTCTTCATCAAAGTATTTATTCCTTTATCAACTTCATCTCCTTTATTTCTTTCTTTATCAACTTCATCTTGTTTGTTTTTTTCAAACTTCATGGTAGTACCATTGACTCTTTGATGAAAGTGGGAAACAATTCCTTCATTTATATCTTCAAGAAATATTCTTCATGTTTTTTCTTTGACTTCTCATGCTTTTTCTTTGACTTTTCTTTTATATCATCGTTTGTAATAAACTTTTCTTTCATCAAATCTAAAGTGAAATAAACTTTTATTTCATCAAATCTAAAGTGGAAAATTTTTCTTTCATGTGAACTTTAAATATTTTCAAGTTATTTATATATTTAATCACACAAAGTTTGTGTTCAAAAATACCTTATAACTTTTCTCCAATAATTGAGCAACACTTAACAAATTATATGATTAATATCAAGAACATATAAAACATCAAAAATTAATTTGGTACCTGTTAGTGAAAAATTGATACAAGGATCGAAAAACAGAAGAGAGAAAATCGAAGATCATATGATTGGTTAAAAAGTTGATAAATCGGAAAGATGGGTGGAAGACATCCGGTGACCACGAGATAGTATGAAC